CTGCTAAAAGGAACACTCCGAAAAGGATTCGTTGAAGAAAACCGAGTGGACAGAACATTACGGACGGGATCGGTGCTGAGCACTGTCCATTTCTTTCGAATATTGACCGCTGCTACGCTCTGAAAGGGTCAATAGAAGGAACAAAGATTTCGTCGCTGTTGTAGATCAGTCTAGCATTTGACACTGGACTTTTCGATTCCTTACAACATCGCTTTGGAGTTTTCGTGAATTCTATTTTCGTCTATGATATGAACCACTGATCGAGACGGAAGGTAAGTAGATAACCTTCCCTTCCCAGGTAGAGAGGTAAAAAGTGGGTTAGGATCTGGGCGTTTTCCTACCTGTATATTGCGTTACCACTGCAGTAATGACTGTGTGATGTTACAATCAGGTTTACTCGGTTGCTTTTACTCACAGACGGTATAACCTGACGATGATGGGAAGGTAAGACAGCAGTAGAAGACGTTCCCGGTACTAGAGGTATGAAGAATGTAGATACAAGTTTAGAGGGCTCAGGACCTGACTGTGCCGAGTGTGTACGCAATCAAGACCTGAGTGATCACAACTACGCGAGCACTTCTTTGCCCCAGAGGCTTATAGAAAAGTGGGCCTCGCTCGAGTAGCAAATTTTGCTTCATTGTTTTTACTCACCCCCGAGCAGCAATGGATTTGTGATGAGACTTCGCTTCACGGAAACATCCGGTTATCGTCAAACACTCTCTCCTTTCACTCTAGCTTTTTACGCATACCTAGATGTTTACCGATAGAATATTCCCACTGGACAAATGATTTACCTTTTGACTACGGTAACGGAATTCAGTGGGCGCCGCATTGCCTCTAATAATGTCCGGAAAACCAATTGACTCATACTATCTGGTATAGCCACACTGACTCACTCAGAACTAAGAGTTTGAAAGCGCAAAGAGGTCGTGGAAAGGCCTTCATAAGATTGTTCAAACCCCTTCACAAACTTTTATCGCCTTTTTTTCCAGGAAGACCCTGGAAAACCGTGTTCATAAGTTTTTGGCAAAAAAGTTAAAGTTATGAATGGGAATTCTGTCGAAGTATGGTTTACCTGAATGGTCCTCAACTCCCTCAGCTTTGGGTGGCGATTAAATAAGAAAATGCTCAGCTTTTGTGGTATAGGCTTTCTTGGTTAGGCTAGGCAGTGATATTGGATATTCACTTTTCAATATTACTTAGATTGTTCTTATTGTGCATGACCCGGAAGATCGAGAAAAAGTTGAAGGCATGGCGCTTTACTGGTACAGATGTGAGCCTTAACTTCCCCAGGCTACATCGCGAGTTTCAGAGCTTCATGGTACTGTGAATGGGTTATTTTATGTAGGCTCGCAGATTGGTAACCGATCGTCGCCTAGGGGATGTAGGTAGGTAGGGTTACGGTGGGTAAAACAAACGGAAAACAGAGAAGTTCTCTCGGCAAGTTGAGAGACTAAAGAGCAACCAACGCGGAAGCTTAACTACCGGCGAGCCGACGTGGTAATTTATACTTACTATTTAATCCCTCGGTGGTCGGAACTAGGTGGGAGTGGAGACGGTAAACAGAGTACATTTTCGTCGACTATGTACATAATACCTGCATAGTTTGAGATCAATTTGTGATCGGGTGGTCGATAAGCCGACTTAATGAACGATGAACTTTCATTCTCGGTTTCACAGCTCAAATTGGCAGTGAAAACAATGCGATTGTTTTCTTTTTAAGGGGAAGGCGTATATTGTGATCGAAAAATATTTGATGGGCGCACCACTTGGCAGTTGACCCAGTACACTTAATACATATAGATTATTGAGATTTCGTGAAATTCCTTCGTTTGAAGGCGTCTTCCATTGTGACTCTCCCTTTGTGCAAATTGCTTTGAATCCTCAAAGTAGAGTAATGGGGAAGGCACTTCAAATGTTTTTGGAACCTGTGATTATAATATTGAAAGATGGGAAGGGGAACTCAAAGATGCCAGGTAGCGCACTACCACATACAAAGTGCGGTGGTATCAGGCCAGGCAAGCTCTACTTTTCCACAGCTAAAAGCTGCTTCCATAGAGCACCTATAGAGGGAACATGACGTCAATGCCATTGGAGCTGCACAGCTTTAAAATTGATCGAGTCGGAAAATAGCAGAAGAAAAAACAATACAGACAAAATAAGCAATTAC